CGCCTAGTTCGGGGGGAAAAGTACTCTGGTGTGAAAGCGCCTATGGGTCATTTAAAATGTAATCACTGCCGTTAAAAATGACAAACTTAGCATTTGCATTTAAGTACAAATTCTAGTTACTTCTACAGTAATGTGAGGAAACAAGAAAGACTGATTTCTGCTAAACGGCCGGGAAAACCACCCCGACTACATATCTGAGCAGGGTGTGTGTGTGTGTGTGTGTGTGTGTGTGTGTGTGTGTGTGTGTGTGTAGCTGAAAACTAGCACTTTTTTGTGTGTTCAGCCTTAACGAGGCTAAATAATTTTGCTTAATTTAAACTCAACTTCTTGATTCCGTCCTAAAAGCAATTTGCAAAACGGCACACATCTTGGTGACGTTACCTCGTGAGTATTATTACAATAACATAACCAAAGATATACAATCATTATAAAGTTAATGCTTTTGCTAGCTTTAGTCACCAGAACATCGACAATTTGACTATTTAAAACCATAGAAATGAATACAATTAAATGTATCTGTTACACTTGAAAGCTGTGAAATACAAATTGAGCAAGACTGAAATCTTTGAATTAAGAAATACATTTAAGTGGAAGATTAGGCAACTGGTTAAAAATCTAAACTGTGTCAGAAAAAAACCAAAAAACCAGCATTTTATATATTTTTTTTCCATAAAACAGTTTGCTGTGGGCCTTAAACTGGGTCAATTATGCCAGATGCTTGACACCTGTGTCAGCTTGCCTGAAACATGTTGAACCAGAGTCAGGGTACCTTTGATAGTCTGATGATGTTTGCTTGAGCAGTTACTTAGAAATAATTTAACACCAATTAAAGATCCGTTTCCTGTTTAATGTGAAATCCTGTCCATGCTGTAATATCCTGTCTTGCAATCTACCTCACACTCCCTTCACTGTTTCGACATTTTGTGTTTGTCGAAGGAGGCGGTTAGCACTTTATTTTCTTATTACAAATATGTGTGTTTAATATAAGAGTCTGAAGCTTCAGTTGATTAAAGTCCACAGGGTAGTTTTAGTTATAAGAACGAAAAAAACCACAACCAGCATTTTGTTTTATGGTCAGATTTCAGCCGGATAATGAAGCAATACATGTTTTCCATATGTTTCTGTGTTTAAAATGCCCTTTGGCTTATATTTATATGTAGAGGCTGCAAAAGATGGCGTACATGTTGATCTGTACAAATACTCAAGCTTTGCGTCTAATCTACTTTTGTAAAGACATTCTCAATAAAAACCTGTTCCATACATGTGCATTGTTCCTTTTTCTTGTCAATGCAAATGCTTGACTGTAAGTGACATCTGTTCCTTAAAAAAAAAGGATGTGAAATCACACCACGCTTGGCTTCCTTCCACATGTACACTCTCAAATGAACCCTGAAACTCAAACAGTCACTACCTTCCTAAGAAATAGAAGATAGAAAGATAGAACTGGTGTTTCCAGATCCGTGACTGGGAAAACCAAGAAAGAGTTGATTCATTTGTAATGTGATATCTCCTGGTCATCACATTGTCATGTGATCGTGGGGAAGTTGTCGTGTCATAATCCCGTGAGTATTATTTGTATATCATTTATAGATATAAAAACTTCCCACAACAAGAATGACTCATTAACAAAAGGGGGACATACAAGTATTTAGTTTCTCGAATTGTGGGGAACTTGCTGCACTTGTGAGACAGAAACGTGTTGTGAGGTGTGAAAAAGTTAAGTGTTGCAAAAATATTCACACACTTGTGTGATCACACGTTTGCACGTTTGTTGCAACACGTTGAAGGGGCCCTATTACATTCATTTTCAAGATGATATCAGTATGTAGTGTCTCTACTTTAAAGAGTCCTCTCCTGCTGATGTTCAGGTGTATATCAGTATGTAGTGTCTCTACTTTAAAGAGTCCTCTCCTGCTGATGTCCAGATGTATATCAGTATGTAGTGTCTCTACTTTAAAGAGTCCTCTCCAGCTGATGTCCAGGTGTATATCAGTATGTAGTGTCTCTACTTTAAAGAGTCCTCTCCTGCTGATGTCCAGGTGTATATCAGTATGTAGTGTCTCTACTTTAAAGAGTCCTCTCCAGCTGATGTCCAGCTGTATATCAGTATGTAGTGTCTCTACTTTAAAGAGTCCTCTCCTGCTGATGTTCAGCTGTATATCAGTATGTAGTGTCTCTACTTTAAAGAGTCCTCTCCAGCTGATGTCCAGGTGTATATCAGTATGTAGTGTCTCTACTGTGACTTGTCTCCTGTGCTGCAGCACCTCTTTTCACCCTCCGTCTGAAACCAGAGCCCAGTCTG